CTTTCCACCTCCAACAAAGAAAATTTTATATCCATCATTTCAGGTATATTCTTTGGGGAGTCCAATACTCTCTAAATACCACTTTCTGATGAATCAACTTTAATCTCAAATCAATTAATACCATTTTAATATTTTTAAGGCCATGAAGCCATTGATGGGGCATAATGAAAGATTCTAGTTGTTTAGTCCATGTTTGGAATAATCCAGAAGCATTCACTTTAAAAAAATTCTTGAGCTTTCAATAGAGAGATGTTATGGGTTTTCTATCATGGATTCCTTCAAATAGGAGAGCATCTCAGGTGCCTTTATGGTGACCAAAGTGCCTGGCCTATATTGGTCCATTAGAGCATGCTTAAGTTGAAGATACCACCACTGTTGTGAACTGGGAAGACTAAATTCAATCTGAAGTTGGAAGACATTCTTAAAAATCATTACATAATAATGTTTTAAAGTCATATTCCACCCATGATAGACTAAGAACTATAATCAAAGCGGTTCATTTGTTACAGTATTATTCTTGTCAATAATAATAGCAATTTTACTAGGCTTATATGCTATTCCAATCATGTCTGACTCTTAACAGCTTACAGACATTTTTCTTCATTAGCGATCATTAGTTTTAGCTGGTATTTTTCTCATTCTTTCTTTTAAAATAAACATTTCATTAACCCTGAAACTATATGTTCTACCATTATTTATATAAAATTCAAATCAAAACAAGATTCCTACTAATTTGAATGGAAGGATTAAAGTTTAATCTGAAAGATGAATCTTAATGAAGTTAGCATTACCGTGTAGAAGAGAATTTACATGCATATTTTGGCACTAACTGGTGATTCAGAAATTATGAGGCTCAATTTTGGAAAAACTCTATGAAATCTTCTGAACTTCTTTTCTTATCACTAAATTTCAGACTACAGTAATAATGAAATGGATCCTTTAGATTTGTCACTGTTTCAGTATAACAGCATTTTAATTTTTAAAAAAATCAGTTTATCATTAATTTTATAATAGTTAAAGGATATTTTGAGAACTTCTTTACTAATTATACTTTTTTCACAAAGTTATGTTAGGAGCAAGACTGCTAGATTTGTTGAAAAATTGTATTTGTTTATTCTATATTGAAATAACCTTTCATATTTATAACTGTTTTCCTTTGAATGTTATGAGGTACAGTATATATTTCTCTATATTTTCAAAATATTTTCTTCCAATGTTTCTTTTGTAATATGGTATGTTACTTTACAGGGTGTCTAAGAAACAAGAGATCAATTGCATTCAAAAAAACAATAATTTCCTTGGTTGTACTCTACAAGATACAAAACAAAACTCAAGATATTTTTCACAATCAAATTAGATTTAATTTAGTTAGAGGTAATTCAGTCAGTACTTTTTGTCTTAGTATAATTCTATTGTGTAATATTATTTTATGCAAAATCTAAAATAGTTTTGTTTCCTTTGTTTCTTACTATCACAAAATAAATCCCCCAAATCATTTGACCCTAGTTTTGATAAATTTAAGATGGTATCAAGTCATTCATTTAAAATCCTTTCCAGGTTAAAAAAGGCTCTGAAGTTAACCATTCAGATAACAAAAGTGTGAGCCTTCCATTAATTATTAGTCTTGCAGGCTCCTAGTAAACAATCCAACAAGTTGAAAGAGCAATGCCCAAAATGTGTTACTGTGAATTAGTATATCCAGTCTAAACTTTGGATAACTAAATCCTATGAATAGCATAAAGACATGATTTTATGTAATGACTCCATTACATAAATTAATAGACTCTGCATTCTCACTGTATTAAACATGTAATCATCTGCATGTTAGATGCTAAAAAGAGGTAATTGCGTGGCCGCATCCAGTTTCCTCCTCAGCCCTCAATGAAACAGCCATAAATTCAGGAGTTCTCAGAGCAACACAGCAGCTCTGCAGAGGGAAGTAAGACCCCTTCCACAAGCTCTTTCATCAGTGTCATACTGCATGTCAGCCAGGGCCTATAAGATAAAATAGTATCCTACCCAGTTCACAAATGATTCAACGCCTACTATGATTTGAGCCAACTTGCCATATAATCACATACCACAAAGGCTGAAGAAAGTAAATTATCCTGGGAACTTGTTATCACATAACTTCTAGAGTATCAGGGAGCAAATGATAGGGAAGCAATCATGTTTGCTGTCTATGTATTCACTAAACCTTGTGCAAGGCAGTCACTGCATATTAGATCAAAGGAGATACATTTTTGTGCCAGATGAAAAAATACTTGCATAAACAAAACAAACAAAATCCCTGGCCTCAAACTCCAAACTACATCAAGACTACATACTTTCCTGGGTGTAAATTTCACTGAGCTCAACAGGGAGCTACTTCTGAAGACACATACCCTGTTGGAGTCCTCTTGCTTTCAATGGGAAAGTAAAGCACATGCCTGAACCTCACCCACTGAAACCAAGGGAACTTGAAAATACTTAATTTTGACTTACTGGGCCCATTACAGCTCCCAGACACGCCCCAAGGAAACATTCTAGCACAGTTCACAACCACACGTTTCAAAGTATTTTTTTACGCTCCGCTCCAATTAAGTTCTCCTCCTCCTCCTCCTCCTCCTCATTTATTAAATTTATATGTCGCCCCACTCCCAGCAGACTCTGGGCAGTTTAGAGTACACGTGTGCTTAAGTTAAGCATCGTGCATTATTTCATCTTGCACTTGTTTCCATTCACAAGCCAACCTCACGCGTATATTTGGATCGAGAGGCCAAGCGCTGCGTCAGCCTGGGAGCCTGAAAATGCGGGATTGGCGGTGGCCTCGCAGGGGCGGCCCAGCCCTCAGCTCTACCGAGAAAGTGGAAGTTGCCTCGGGATGCCCCAACTTCAAAGGACGCCTAGCCGCGGCCGCCAATCCTCAAAGCTGAGAACAAGGAGGCTCGCTGGGCGCCCCGCCGCACGCAGCCCTTCTGTCTATCAGCATAACAAAGAGGCACGCTTGTAAATTTGCCCCGGGTTTGACTGAGGCGCTTGCAGGGCCTTTGATTAAGCAGGTCGCCGTCCTGCCGCCTTTGAACTGGGCACCGGTGCGGGCTCTTTTTTCACCCCAGAATGTTCATTTGCGTTCGCCTGGGGAGAGACTTCCACTTTCCCACCGCGTCACCCGGGTCCCCTTGAAACTCCCTTCTCGCGCCGAGTTCAAGAGTTCAGCGCGGCCGCGAAACTAAGGATTGGTTTCGGCGCTGGAAAGATCCGGCGCTGCAGAGAAAGAAGCTGGAACGGACGGGAAAAAGCAACGAGGCGCACCGGGCTTGGCGGGAAAGTTGGCTCGCGCCTTTTTCTGCTCGGAGACGCAAGCCGTTTTGAACGGAACGCGCCTGCTAAACGCGGATGAATTCCTGTCCTCAGAAAATGCGTT